TCAGAGGAAGCAGGACAGCAGGCACTTGTATGTACCTGATAACAGTTGAGTAAACATTCAGCAAATGCCCAGAGGACTCAGGGGCTTTGACAAATCCAGTCAGGGGCAATGTCCACACTGGTCTCGGAAACAGGTCCGACAGAAGAGAATGACAGAAGAGGTGTGACTCTCGCTCATCTCAGCCTGAGCTGGCACAGTGGCACCCCTGCACTCTCAACTACTCAGGAGGCTAAGGCAGGAAGACTGCTTGGGCTCAGGAGTTCAAGGTCAGCCTGGGCAACATGCAAAGGCTCTGTCTATAAGCACATAAATATGCCCAGTCTGATAAACACGTAGAATTCTATAGAGAGAATGCATACTGTCTAATAATTAATGGAACTGTCTTAAATTTATTACATTAAGAGGTCACACTGGAAGTCTCAACAAACTTTTAAAATTACTCTTTTATATAGAGCCACTTTACTGAGCACAATATGATAAATAAATGGAGAAACAGGTAAGACAGAAACAGCTGGGCACAGTGGCACGTCTGCAATCCCAGCGACTCAAGAAGAGCAGGCAGGAGAATCCCAAGCTCCAAGCCAGCCCAGGTGATGTAGGGAGACCCTGTCTCAAATGAAAAGGCTTGGGATGTAGCTCAGTGGGAGAGCATCTCCCTACCATGTAGGAGGCCCTGGGACTAATCCCTGGTACCTGGGAGGAAAAAAAAGATCCCACATATGTGGAAAATTAGAAATCTACTTCCAGAGAATTCATACACTGAAGAGGTAAACAAGAATTACTCAAGAGACTGTGTGTGTATAGTCTCAAGTAATTTTATATATCTATAATTATATATAAATTACTCCAACCTATAGGATATTTTTGAAAGAGCACTGAGACAGAAATTTGCTTTAAATGCATTAATTAGAAAGCAAGATTGAAAACAAATGAAGCAAACTTTCAACTTGAGACATCAAAAAAAAAAAAGGGAAATCAGACATAAGGCTTTTAAATAATAAAAAGCAAATTATCACAGGAAAAAACACCACTCCTAATGCCACACAAAGGGTCAATAGAGTGGAGGAACAAGACCCGAACTGGCCCTGCAGGCAGGAAGGCCCAGAGCCCAGCCACAGCAGGCATGTAGAACAGGCGCAGACCGAGGGGCTCGGAAGGCAAAGGCACGGCAGGCTCACTCAGGAGGACGCAGAGCACAGTGGCACTTTTCCCAAGATGCTTGATTTTTACAACGGGTCACAACACAGCTTTGACTCATTTTGCCATGCAGAAGCTGGGGGTGTGTGTGTGGCAGCTGAGGACTCTCCTTGTAGCATGTTCAAAGAGCATATTCAAATCCACATGATATAGGCATTCAAGTGCTAGCTCCCAGAAGAGCCAGGCAAGTGTGACCCCATCTTCTGGCTTCCATGTTGCTGCATGTGCCAACCCTGCTCCTACAAAGACATTTCAAAACTTGCAGTAGTTAAGTCACGCAGTATCCAAATCACTAAACTTGAGTGTGGCCCACAGTCAACAGCCACAGGAATGGCCCTGACAGCAGCATCAGCTGAAGCAAGAGCTGTCGGCCACTTGATCTGCCTTCCTGAGCACAGATGTGTGCTGCTGGCCTGCTCCTCCACTTGGGGGAGTTGTGGCTCTGGATTTGCTCCATGGGCACCAGATCGGCCCCTGGAATTCCTTGAAGGCAGCAGCAGCTGTGTGGGTGCCGCCTTCCCCTGGCATCTAGCACAGGGGTAGTTCACAGCAACCCCATGACCTGGGGGCGGCACACGCTGGTTGAGTATTAATAATCTGGTTTGGGTCTCTTGCAGAAGGGGCTTTATGTGGGCAAGATCATAAAGGATGTACTTAAATGATACACATACTCCATTGTTCACATAATTAAAGGTCTGTCCACGAGGATGGCACCTAGGAGGGTGCAAAGTGAGAGGAGTTTCAGCTGACCAGGGGCTCGACAAGAGGTGCTGTCAGGTGGACACTGTTAGCAGCACACAGACCCTCAGGAGGCTCTGCAAGGTGAGATGGTGTTCAGCAGGACCAGGCACAGGTCTCTGCAAGGAGGGTCTCCTCATTCTGTGCCCACCAAGACAGCAACCCATCCCGTGGCCTGGGAGTGAAAGGCCAGGGTCCTGACTGGAGAATCTGCAGCAGGGCCTCTGGGCTTGCAGAGACATGGGCCATGTAGTAGGGGAGGCAGCCCACTGACCACAGAGACCAATGGGTGCTGCACACTGACAGGGAGACTCTCCGCTCCCTTGGCTGCTCTAGTCCTGGGCCCCAGGCAAGCCAAGGGCACCCCATCAATGAGAAGTCAGGGAGAAGAGAAGGCAGGCCCAGAGAAGAAGCCAACACCCACTTCTAAACCAATGTCTTAGAAGTGGGTGCTAAAAGCAAAGGGGTGTCTGTAAGGCCAGCCATGGGCCCATCTCTGGCTGAACAGCATAGGGAACAGCCGTCAGGCTGCTGGGAGTAGGTCTGGGGATAGGGAGAGGGTACAGACTGTACCTTTGAGGTGGCAACAAAGGAAGGCAAAGAAACAGGCAAGTGCTGACAGGGGACAATGGGAGAAGCAGAAGCCATCTACAGGGGAAGTGGGAGGAAGGGAAGTGACAGCCCAGGTGGCCAGAGGGAGAAAGCAGGTAGGGTGGGTCCTCGGTGACAAAGGGAGGTGGAGAGGAAGCAGAGCTGCTGTGGAAACAGGAAGAAAGAGGGCTGAGGGGAGAGGGGGCCATGGCCTCTGCCAGGAATCTAGAACCGCCTTTCACCACCACTGTCACCAGCCGAGGACTCTGACTGGGGAAAAGCCATGAGGATTCTGGTGGGACCGGGTACCAGTGCTCACTGGTGTTAAACCTTCCGACTGTGACCACAGTGTTCTGGCTACGTAAGGTGACACCCCTCTTCTGGAAAGGCACACAGCGAAGTGTGGGGTGTGGGAGGCGTGGTGTCTTGACTCACCATCCAACCATTCAGAAAGCCACAGAGACTGGAGAGAGAACATGGGGCGCAGGGCGACTGGGGGCTCAGGGAGACCTGGGCAGGTACATGTGGGGCTCTCTGTACTGTTCTTGGGATTTTCCTGTACATTTGAAATTACACCATAACTAAAGATTACCATAAGTGGTACAAATCCAGAAGGTGGGGCGCTACAGATAACTGGCCTGATGTCTTCAAAACCTCAATGCCGTGATAGACAACCGTGGGTGCAGTGGAACTGCTGTAGCTTACAGACTGAAAAACACAATCAAATGCAACATATAATCCATGGCTGGATGCTGGACTGGGGGGAAAAACACAGCTACAAAGGCGGTTTTAAGAATAGTTTGGAGGGCTATGGTTGTGGTTCGGTGGTAGAGTGCTTGCCTAGCATGCCTGAGGACCTGGGTTCAATCCTCAGTACCACATAAAAATAAAGATATTATGTCCACCTAAAAACTAAAAAATAAATATTTTGAACAACAAAAAAAGAGAATAGTTTGGAGCTGGGTGTAATGGCACAAAGCCTGCAGTCCCAGTGACTTGGGAAGCTGAGGAAGGAGGACCACAAGTTCATCACCAGCCTCAGTAACTTAGTGAGACCCTGTCTCAAAATAAAAAGGGCTGGGGATGTTGCTCAGTGGCAGAGAACCACTGGGTTCAATCCCGGGTACCAAAAAAGAAAACTATTTTGGGAAAAGGTGAATAGGGACTGCATATCCAAGCAAATGAGCGATGCCATCAGCTCTGTGGGCTAACGGCTCAGGTCATGGGGGTGGTGGGGGTGGTGGGGGTGGCTACCTTTGAGTTGTGTGTAGAAATATTTCAAGACGAAGGTTCGTGTTTGTAATTATCTCTGAATGGTGTGTGTGGAGTAAATACGTTTGTGTTAAGGGCTGCGATGAGGAGGTGGGCGCGCAGGCATTTGTCATGCTACATGAGCTCATCGAGCTAACACAAAGGGAATCCCCATCTGTGCCCCAGACTCACTTAGCAACACCTCCTGGACACTCTACCTGGGGCCTTCCAGGCCAGACGCTGAGCCCACCCACACCATCTCATGGCTCCCCCCACCACTGGATGAAGCCAGGCCAGGCATTCCTGACAGGCTTCCCAGGGCAGCATGAGCCCAGGCTGAGCCCACCTCTCCCCAGAGCACCTCGGTGGCCTCCTAGCAGTCTGTGCTCCTTCCCACCCACCCCACCCCACCCCTTCTGGAGCACCAAGTGATGATTGTAAAATGTCAGGTCCCTCCCAGACCTAAAGCCTTCCAGGGGCTCCTGAGACCTCGGAACACCCAGGCCCACCAGGCCCTGGCCTGCCTGCCACATGCTCAGGACCCCAATGTGGCTGTAGGCAACACTCTTAACCACAGTGTGTGACCCTGCCCAAAGACCCAGAGATCCACAGCTCCCTGGCTCAGGGCCACAGCAGGGCTCCCACCCATGGCAGGACCCAACACTGTCCACAGGTGCAGGTGTTGAAGTCCCCCTCCTTGCCAGTAGGTGGGTGCTGTTTTATGCAAGGCACCCCAGAATCTGGAGCAGGTACCTGGTTATAGTGGGAAAAGACTCGTTGAGTGAAGTGTGTACTAAGATAACTTAGAAAACCCACTTAGAACTCTCATTACTGCAACTATAAGAACAAAAGTATGCATGCAGGTAAGAGGAGCAGCTACCGTGGAAGTGAGTCAGTGCCTGAGCTAGGCTGGCCAGCAACCCAGACTGACCGCCTCCCGCCTGTTCTGGTGGCCTGATATGTGACCCAGAAGCAACCCACACATTCAATAGGACTCCACTACAGAAGTATCCAGAAAACATATTATACAAAATATAGTATCCATAAGTTCGCAATCTATGAGTATACAGTTAAAAAATGTTTTATTCCCCAAATTATAAACATATTCATTGTATTTGAATTATATCAATAAGTGACTACAAATAGGTACACAGAGGCAAACACTAAGTCATTTTAAAAAATATTAAAGCTTTATTTTATTGAAACAAACCAACAGTCTACCACTAACAAATAATGTTAAAAAGCAACATTATCAATAACCATAAATGATCCAATTAGAATAAAATTGACATAATATTGCTTTAAAATGCAATTAAATGTATTGTCAAAGTAAGGGACTTACAAAATTAGCTAATGTGCATGGTGCAAATGTCATGTGGACACAGATCAGGAAAAGGAAGAATAGGCCCTGCTGCGAGGCCCAGAGAGGTGGCCCAGCTCAGTGCAGCTTGGCCATGGGTGGGCACCCTTTCTGAGAAGGTTCCAGGTTTGCCGCACCCACCTTAGCCCCGCCTCCAAGCAGACTCCTGCTGGGTCAACAGCAGCAACTGCCCAACAGCTTGGGAAAGATAAAATCAGGATGCTGAGGGTTTATGTACTGCACTGCCTGGTCACTCCTGGGAGGACAGAGCCAGGTGCTGACCATCAGAATTCCAGGCTAGCACCCCACATTGAGGTCCCCCAAGGCACAGCTCAAACCAACTATTGAGTGCCTCTTCTCCCTCTGCAGCCCCAGGGGCTGACTGAACTCACTGAACTCACTCCAACCAGCATTCAGTTCCAGCAGAACGGAGCAGGCTCACCAGCCATCACAGCCTACAGCTGCACAGATGGGGCCCGGGCAGCCAGCAGCCCCCCAGGAAGCCAGGAGTGTAGGGCAAGTACTGGTTCCCCTGGTCACCCTCTGCCCTATGGACGTAACTGAGGCCCAAGCCACTTATGGGACACCCGTCTGCCTTTCTGCTCTGCTCTTGTGCTACTCTGCTTTCATCCCCTTCACCAGGCTTTCTGAGGGCAGAAATCACGCCCCATGAGCCCCTCAGACCACAGTGCAATGCACGGTGCGCAGCAGTGCTCACCCTGCTATCGGACAACGGGCACAGCATCCCACAGATGAATCTAGGCTGGATCATTACTTTAGTAAATGAAAAGTTACATCATTAACGAGCAGAGCTTCGTTCATATTGGACTTGGTATGTGACAATAGATTCCAGGAAACAAAGGGCAGTTTGAGTTATCCTTGGAAAAAAAGGACAAATTGGAACACTGATAAGTAAACTTACAAAATTCTAAAAATCTACCTGGCCTACTTAAACACTAACCTTTTTAAGAGAGTCCCCATGTCTTTCCTGAATGTACTTCAGGAATGCCGTGGTCCACTGGAGAGTCGTTGCCTTATCCGTCTCCGCGTTGCAGAACGGAACTAAAAGATTCAGCTCATCACAGCAAATGCGGATTCTGCGCCTGCAGTCAAAACCCAGAGGAGTCAGCTGGCAAAGCAAGCAAGCAACGGGAAGTTCATCATCTTGCTAAAAGGAGCCAGAGCTCCTGGAGCTGGCCTCCGAGTGCTGCAGAGGCACCCTGTGCCCCAGGAAGCCCCTGGACAGCCTGCACTACTGTGCTGCCATACTCCTGTCTAGAGGCTGCTGCACCCATGACACCCTAGCGGAGTCCAGTCCCAGCACAGTTTTCTGCTCACTTAATTATGATCAAGTCTTTGGAGGAGATAACATCCCTTTTGTAGGTGAGAAACTCCAGAGAAGAAATAAAGAACTTGTAGCAGTTTGATAAACTCCTAAGGTCCAAGTCTCTAGACCAGGGATGGCATCAAATTTCCTAACCCTGGAAGCAAAACTGTGTGCGCTTTCTCCAGGCAGATCACTCCTCTGGTCAGGACTATCACACCCTGCTGTCCGTGAGCCAAGAGACACCATGGGAACTTGGAGTGCCAGACACCTTGAGGGGCCCTGACAAATGAATCAGACTGCCGCTGTCAGTCTCCTGAAACCTCAGCCTTTTTAGAGAGAATTTAAATCATAGCTTGAATCTTACTATTGTATAGTTTTTAACCTTTATTTCTTACATCTAGCAAAGTCCTAAATGAGGTGACACTGGGCACTCAGCAATGTGCCAGTCACCAGGCACTGGAACACCTGTGCACTAGAATTGTACTAACGACTGCACCAGAGGAAAGAGCAGGCATGCACCAGGGGAAAGAGCAGGCATGCACCAGCCATTCCCCGTCTTCCAGGCACAGGGCCAAGAACTCTTCAGCCATCTGCTCATTTAATTCTAATCAAGTCTATGCGGTAGATAACATTCCTTTTATAGGTGAGAAACTCCAGAGAAGAGATAAAGAACTTGTAGCAGGTTGGTATATTTCCAAGTGCTGCAGTGAAAATTCACACTTTCAAACTGTCGCAGGCATTAGACAAATGTTCTTAAACAAATGTCCAGGCAGGCAGAGTGCAGAGGCCCTTCACAACCCACAGCAAGTTCAGGGAGGTCCCTCAGTGTGTGCACACATGTGCAAGGAGGGATCAAGTCAGCTTTAGCACATCCCTTCAAGAAGCAATGGATTGAGCCAGCGCCGTGGCGCACACCCGTAATCCCAGCAGCTTGGGAAGCTGAGGCAGGAGGATCGCAAGTTCAAAGCTAGCCTCAGCAAAAGCAAGGTACTAAGCAATTCAGTGACAACCTGTCTCTAAACAAAATACAAAACAGGGTTGGGGATGTGGCTCAGTGATCAAGTGCCCCTAAGTTCAATCCCTGGCACCTGCCCCACCCCGCCTCCTACAAAAAAAAAAAAAAAAAGCAGCAACCAACTGCCCTAGACTGACATTCAGGACCTCAGTTTTAAGGCTGATATCTGTCTCATTCAATGTTATTTATTTCCTAAGCCTAAAACAAAACTGGTACACAGTACTCAAATGACTAATTAATTATGATTAGGGAAACACTGAAGAAACCCCCTATAACAGAGAAAAATTAACCACCTTGATTCTATGTAGAACACAAACAAAACCCTCAGTAAGACCATTTAAATAGCAGTTTAAACCTCCTCCTTCCCCAACATTCTTTTTTTTTTTTTTTTTTTTTTTTT